ATGGTTCCTATGCAGAAAACAAAGACACTGCATCAGCTAAAACATATCTGAGATATATCTAAATTACATTCCTCATATTAGATAAAAGCAGTATAAAGATAATTTGTGAGATAAAATTTTATGGTGTTAAGTCAATTAAGAACTAAAACTAGGACAAAATTTTAACGTAATTCTTCAGTTAGAATTGTCCCAAAAATACAAGTAGGATAATTGTAAAATATTATCCCAGTTTTGTCATATTTATCTATACTACTATGAAAAAGGATTGGGGCACTAAAACTTTTAATTCTCTTTTTTGCCCTCTCAAATTTTAATAAATTCTAACTATGCCAGTATCTCTAATTAATCTTTTATTTATAACCTCTTATAATTATGCACCTAATCACCTTCCTAAATAATTATAATTATGAATAATATTATAACTATTAATTTAATTGTTTAAAAATAATAAAATAAAATAATTTATAAAATAAGTATACACAATTATTAGTAGTAACAAATTAAATTATTATTATTATTTACGAATTATAATGAAATAATTAAATAATAGTATAAATAGAATAATATATTACTAAATACTATTAAGAGTTATACTATAATTCATTGAGCAATAAAAATAAATAGAATAAATTTTGAATCACATAAATAGTATACTTATTTTAATAATATCACATAAATTACGAAGTATACACTATTTATTTAGTATTATATTATTAAATAAACAATAATTTTATACTATTTTTAGTCATTTTCTCAAAGATTATCACATGATACTGACTAATCAGTACTTGGTAATGATTGAAAACTAACCTTTTTACAAAAAAAATATTTAATAATAATAATGGTACTATTAATTGTTAATGATGTTATAATAAAAATTTAAAAAATATTTATAGTACTAACTTTTTTAAGAGCATAATTAAATATTAAATTACATAAATATTCTATAGTATATAGACAGTATAATCATTTTAATAGTATTACTTGAACTAAGAATTATAATATTAAATAAGGTAAATTACAGTAAACCCTCATGAACTTTCAGCATTTTGCAGTAAATAGACCCTATGAACTTTCGAAATCACACTAAACCCCTAATAACTTTTGTAAAAAGCCCCCAATATCTTTTAGATATATTACACTAAACCCCCAAATACCTTTCAAAATGCCTTTTATGCCCTTTTATGGTTCTAATTTATAGGGGTTATCTGCAAAATTCAGAAAGTTATTAGGGGTCATCTTTAAAAAAGAAAAGTCATTAGGGGTTTAGTGTAATTTTTAAGTTCACATGGGCTGAAAATTCATAATGGTATAGTGTAATTTATCCTATAAAATAATTATAATGAGAAGTAATTATTGCAATATGTTGCAGGTACTAAGTGTAACTATCTAGGGAACATCAGGGAAAAAAACTAGCAAGATTAATGCAGCTTAGTTAATTTAGAGTTAAGTTAATAACTTTTAAATTGGAGCGGCACATTTAAGTGAACTTATAGAATTAGCAGTTTTAGTTAAGAACAATTTTAGATTTGGGGACTTATTTGAAAAAAGGTTAACACTGGACGATCATTACAAGAAAAACATCCACTTATAATAACTACACAATAATAATTAATTCATATAATTCTTTTTAATCAATCTTATTATACAATTTTATTTATTAACATATAGTTTTACTATTCAATAAAAAATTCAAAAATATATATGCACGTGCATTATACTAGTATAGAAAAAAGAGAGTTCTAGTCTCCCAAATTATCCCAAGTTTTAGACTAGAACTAAGTAGTAAAAAAAACTAGAAATCAACTATTTATTTTCTTTTTCTATTTCTTTTTTTTCCTATTTTTCATGTTTCTTTTCCCAATCCTCTTTTTCTCTGGTCACCCTCAATCACCAGACGACACCATAAAATCAAACCGCCTCCCCTCTTACTTATCTTTTTATATATTATATTCTTTTTTATCTAAAATTGGAATTGTAAAATTAATTTAACATTTAAAAAATCAAAGATCCATAATTTAGTAAAAACTAACTGAAACTGATGGATGAGAAATAGATGCGAGAAAGCTAAAAAAAGAAGAAAAATGGGAAAAACTTAATTATTTAAGACTTGTATTATCATAATAATTCAGAAAAATTCAAAGAAGTTGTAAATTATAATAATAGTAATTATTAACAATAAATTTTAGCCAACTAATACTAATTCAACATTAATTAATATTATAGTAAATAATTATTAATTAATAGTACTATGTTTAAAAATATATAAATAATAGTCAAATCATCAAAATGCATAAATTATATACTTCTTAATTATTACAAATTATATGACATCATTTTACAAAAGATATCCAGTGTTCGGAAGTAATGATTTAGCAATTGATGTTACATCATATTGGTGTATAATTGCAACTGATATTGGGAGTGGGATTGAGATTATATCACGAGAAAATAGCTGCAATATTATGTTACTGTTGCAAAAATTTTCTCCATTTACAACCAATGTCATTGAACTTTCAAGAGAACTACATCAATATATTCACAAAAAGTTTGCTTAGGTTTCTTAACATGATCAGCAAACAAATGTTGTTAAAGACTTATAAACTAATAACGAAGACATCTGAAGCATTCAAATCTGTTTAGCAAAGAGGTGTGGATTAGCATAGATAAAGGAAATAGAATGTACCTAAAGTCTCGACTCCTTGACTACGTGGATGCAATTGACCAAACCCCTTGATTGCGTAGGAGATAGAAACTGCAGCAACTGGTGGGTAATAAAACTTCGACAGAGCATCAGCAGCGTCATTCTTAAGTAAAAAATTTCAATATATCAGTTTATGTAACAAACAATGCTTAAGTATGAAAACTGAAAAAACAGTAAAAAAAATAAAATAAAAGCCACAATAAATGTTCAAAATTCCAATGACAGTAACACTTATATAAAGTTCTATGGCTGGTCAAGTTCAACTTGTGCTCATCATCTGATCCTTTTGCCATCGAAATTGGGTCAGCCAGAGCAGCATCAGTTTAAATCCAGCAAGTCTGTCAGATAAGTGTGCATGTATTTTACGACCAGTTATCAACCTCTGTCTACCCTTCATAGATGGATCCATAATCCAAGGGAACTATCAAGAAGCCTTATAATTTAGAAGGACAATAAGTTCCAAGGGAAAGATATCTCAAACTTAAAATGAGAAGATATAATGTCTTCTTTCAAATCATAGTACCAACACGTGCATAAGGTAGAGGAAAGAAGATGAAATTTTGATTAGTGATATCAGTTCCACATACAATGAGATGATTCTGAATTTTGATCGGACATATATATGCTTCAAGGCAAGCTGCAGGTATACGCTTCCGGCTTAAAATAAAATACTTAATTAAAGAAAATCCTGAACAAAAAGTAAACTCTTTCCATAATTTATCATAAATAACTTCTATTGAAAAGAAGGGTGAAAGATACTTCTCACGTGTGACATTAAACATCATTTAACAATGTTTATCAAACATATTCTAGTAGAAGTTGGGAAAATAATAAGCATTGTTGTCACCTCTAAGGCAACTATGGGAACAATGGACAAATGGTACATCACAAATCTAAATTCAATGGAGAACTCCAAAGAATAAGTAGTGGAGATCTGAAATCATCTGTAAAACAATTGGTGAAGTACATGACATGTTACCACGAAGAATAGGAAAAGATTAAAAAATAACAATTACATAGAAAACCAGCCTCCTCACACATCAAAATTAATTTAGCATGGAATATGCAGCTACAAGTAAATAAGGTATGCATATAGTATAAAATGGACTAGTAATTTTCTGAAACATATTGAAAAAACCTGAGAAAAGGAACTTACGGAAAGAGAACGTAGCAAATTACTGGCAATGTATGATGGAACAGTCAGGACAACACTTCTGGTCTGAACTGATATCATGCCATCTGGTGTCTCATACATCAGCATATAACCATAACTGTCCATTTTCTTTATGCTGATAAGCTTCCATGACAGCTTAACTTTGCTTCCCAATCTGATCAAGACAGGAACACAAGTTAAGACAGTCATACTTGAAGTAAGCAATGTGCTTGTTAGTTGTTATAGATGACAAAACCATGAGAACAGTAATAGAAAAGCATTCATCCCAAACATTCGGGTTGGGCACATGAATCCTTTGTCTATATTTTGTTTTCCTAATGCCAAAGTCAAAGGGAGGAGTCAATAGACCAGTGGGGTTTTAGAGAATGTGAGAAGAGGAATGGAAGAGAACGATAGACAAAAGTGAATAATGGTACTCAATATTCTAATTTTCATTCAATAGTCAAAAGTTACCATTTCAACTTGATTTCAACAAACAAAGAGGAAGTACATAATTTGATTAAAAAGAAATTCTTAAATTACGTTCGTATGATTAAAGAACTAATTCACAACTATTGACATTCCTAAATTATCAGCATGGCATGCATTATCTGCCAATTATAGACTTCTAAAATCAAGTTTCCATGAAAAGTAAGCTGACAGTATGAGGGTTTAAAGGTTGAAATTTGGTGAATCTGAGGGGTAGCATTCCCCTTTTTATTTAAAAATTATATTTGAAATAGATACTTGCAATCAAATATCAAACATTGAAAACGAAAGTTGCTCGTTACCTCATGCACTAGTAATTAGCTCGTTTCAACTAGTTTCAACTCCCACCCAGTAACACCTCTTAGCTAAATCAGTTCCCATCAGATATATTCAGAAAATTTTAAATTATAGTGGCAAGAAGGGGAGTGACAAAGACTTTTGTGTCATCTTCAAAGAATCTTAACAGAAAGAGTCTCTCTAGATTCGCCCACTTCTGGATATATCCGGCAGGTAATTTCATGAACCATTCAAAGACAACCCCTTGAGGGTGCCAATGAACAACCAAGTCAGTACGACGTCATTTGATATCACATTCTCAGTCTGTGACTTGAAATGGTAGATATGTTGGTTTGGTGATCCCGTACCGTCAAAAGT